GTGTGGGAGTCTATAGGTGTACAGTATAAAACTGTATCCACTGGTCCACACCGTATAGGCGTGATGATTATTCATTCTAATTTTATTTTTTTCTGTTTTTCCTTTTGGGGAGGCGCTCCCAGGTGGGGGGCCTGGGGGCGATATGGGTCATGGGGGGAAGGGTGAGTGGGGAGCTTCGGGTCATGGGAGGCATTGGTGGGGCGAGGGGGGGTGGCGGGCGTGGGAGGTGTGGTGGCTAGGGGAGCGTGGGGTCGTAGGGGGTGTGGGGGCGTGAGGAGCGTGAGGTTGTGGGGAGCGTGGGGTCATAGGGGGCTGGCGGGCGTGGGGGCTTGAGGAGATGTTTGTTCATTTTAAAACATGCACTCAGAAAGCTCTTCCAATGTGCCACCCACCAGATGATGCACAGACCCGACCACACTCGTGGCATAATGAAGAACATTACATAGGCTTCACCGGGCCTTTTGGTAACATTGAAGAGACCTCCTGGCAAAGAGGAAGTCATCTGTTGGCTACCCCTTTGGCAAGGACATCCAAGCTAGGAGACACAATGTAGGTTTTCAAGGCCCTATCTCAGGACAGGAAGGTGTGTCTTTGGCTTAATGCTGTTAAGATTTCCTTTTCTTTCCCTCTGGTTACCAATATACTATCTGTACTTGCTTATATCTGTGTGGTTTGCAGATCTGCTGTCAATGTGGTTCCTCTGGGCCCTTGGAAAGGGCTCCTGCCAAGGGTGTCACAGGTGCTGTAGGCCTGAGTCCCTCAGAAAGGACTGCCTTGCGATCTCACCATACGTCCAGTCCCAGTGCAGATGTGGCACCTGGCAGACGCTCAATGTCTGCCACTAAGGACAGTGGTGCTTATACATGTTTTCTTTTTGGCACATTTACAAATGCTAGGTGGCAATGCCATGAACAGTGATGCAGCAGAGCCTGAGACCTTCTGAGATCGCTGTCAGAGTACCCTCATACCACCTGCGAGAAACCTTCAGCGTGAGGCCAATGGGCCTGCAATTTCTGGAGCCTCAATGACCTAAATATGACACGGTCCCATCTGTGTGTCCAGTCCCTTCACCTTCTTCTGGAAGCCCATGGCAGGGGTATTACATCTCACTCCAGCATCCTCCTCGTGGTTGCAGCCCTGGGACTCGGCATTGAACTTGCAGTCAATGATGGACTTCTCGTTCCCGGTGCACTCGATCTCGTTGAGATGGATGGGTCCTATCCCTGGAGAAGAAAATAAACATGGGCTAGGAGAGCTCCTGAAGGAAAGTTTCTGCAGTTGGCAAGAAAACAAGAACACTTCTCTCCCGTCCTCAGAACTCTCCCCACTGCCTCCCACAATCAGCTCAATGACCCAGTCTTTCCTCCCTGGAAAGAATTGCTTCTCCCATAAGAGCAAATGAGGATTATACTAACTTGTGTGATCTTGGACAGCTCACTCAGCCTCCTGAATATTGGTTTTCTCCCTTAAATAAAGGAGACGAACTAGAAGGTATCTAGGTTTCCTTCCCAACTTGCATTTATGAACCTGAAAATGGTGACTATGGCTGCATGGTCGGGGTCCCTTTAGGAAGAGATGGCATGCTCAAATTGGATGATCTGAAGAAAGTTAGAAAAATAGATTTTTACAATAAAGGTATGAACAGAGTGTAGTGAACAAAGGACAGTCCAGTGTTCGGGGGCTACTAGCACTGGGCACAGATACCAGCCTAGACCTGCAGGAGTGAGGGGAGATGCCAGTATCTAACCCAGGAGAGCAAAGAGCTGTGTGGAAAGGCATCTGAAAAGAGCTGTTACCCTTGGTTGAGAGACAGGGTGGCCACAGGGACTTTGCGGGGAGAAGAAATACCTGGCCTCTCTCTTCTCCCCATCTCCAGTCTGCTGTCAGTGCTCCCTGCTGGCCACACCCAAATGTGCCTCCTGATTTTATGGGTAAGGGTGGAGAGTGCAGCTGGAGGGGGCGATGGAAGAATCCTGCAAATGACCTAGGTGAGCATGCGGGAAGCTCTCATACAGGCAGAGATAACAAGGGGAAGCTTCCCACTGCTGGGGAGAAAGAATTCCCAGGCTGACCAGCATTCAGCTCAACTCAGCCACTCATCACGACGGATCAAAGCCCACTGTTTCCAGCTTTGGGCTGCATCGACTCCCATCTTGGTCCCTGGCCTGTCTGTGACCTTCTCCCTCTCCTGATCCTCACCACCTTCTTGACCCTCATCACTCAAACACCCGCTAAAACCTCCCATCTTTACGATGACCCTCCCCTGACCCCTGAACCTCCCTCTGGCCCATCACTTTCGTCCCCTTCAGGGAGAATTTCTTGAGAGCAACATCTGTTGTTCTGCTTCCATAGCCAACAGTCGGATTGTCCCCAGTCTGTTTCCTCGACAGCCCTCCCCCATCCCAGGAAAAGGCCCCTCCACCCACCTGGTTATTCTCACCAGAACCCAGAGCTCATCTCTAGTACCGCCTCCTTTTTCACCAAAAGCAGCCCATTACCACATCCTGTTCACTCCCCCAAAGCCAAGTGCTTTTGTTTTTTCATTTCTGCTACAACACTAGTCCAACCCTGCCGTCTCCCATTTGGATGAATTCAATAGTCTCTAGTCTTCCTCCCGTTTGCTTATTCCAAAATATTTTCCACACGGCAGCCCAAGAGATTTCTAATGCAAATGGAATTATGTCACTTCTCGTCTTAAATCCCTGCAGTAGCCTCTCACTGCCCCAATGGTAAACATCCGCAGTCATAGGCAGCCACCTCCATCTTTACCACATTATATGAGGTCTTTGTGGAAGTGTCTGCCTCCCCCAGGGGGCCTCCCAGGCCCTGTGGAATCTGACCTCCACTTAGCCTTCTGGCTCTGCCAGCTCCTCGCCCTCAGCCATATCGTCTCCTGAGCCAAGTGTTTCCCTCTGCCTGGACCCCCTGCCTGGACTGTCTTCCTCCCAGTCCTCACCACTAACTCCTGCTCATCTTTCAGGGCTCAGCATCAATGCCATTTCTTCGGAGAAGCCTTTCTGACCCCATCTAAGCTGGGTCTTCTCAGGGAGCCTTCCACTGAGCACTCTGCTTCACGTTCATTCACGTGGCTCTCTGTCCAATGTCTGTCTGTCTCCCCACTAGGCAAAAAAGGGGCCCACGAGAGCAGGCGCCATGTCTGTGTTTCCT